TAAATTTCCCTTTGATTCCCTATTAAAATCTGTTTGTTCTTGTGGTCAGCTCGGCGAAAAATTCACGCAACGCTGGTTTTTGTTGATGGACGAGGTGGTTGGGGATCTTTAGAGCCAATCCCGGCTTATGACAGTTTTCGGCCATCAGTTTATGAGGACTTCATTAAAAACGATTTAAGATCGCCGCAAGATCGCCGTGGGAAATGCGCCGGAAATCGCAGAATAGTTTGTCTGATGGCACAGAGTAGTTGCGGCAATAGTAATCGTTATGTGGACGTACAGTCCGCGCCGCAAAAAAAGATTAATGATGCAACTGCTCGGAACTGTCAGCAAAAGGTGTTAGTGGCAAGCTGCAGGAGGAAAGCAGGACAACCGCATCCACGATGTGCTCTGCTCAATTTACTAACAAACTTGTCACGCAATGCCACACTCTCCAGGTCATTAATCACTCCAATCAATCCGTCAGGGAGTGGAGTTTCGTTGCCGGGATTGTGGTGTGCCACATAGTGTGGGCTCTACTGTGGTGCTGTGGTGCGGTTTCCACTGCGGTGTGGTGTGGTGTGGGTCGTCCTGCCTTGACCAGGACCTCGACTGACATTCTAATTAGTGCTCGTTGACAGTTCGCCCCGGAAGTGGACGGTGATCAGTGGAAACAACACTCGATTTGAGCGATTCGGGTTCGGATCAGATCGAATCACCAGATCAGGGGGTTCAAGTCGTGGTGCTTGAGTGAGCCATTAAAACCAACTCGTGGGCGGCAGATCGATCGATGGACCTACGGCTGATCGATCGATTGCGATGGGCATTCATCAACCCAGTGGCCAAAGGTGTGGGTTCATCTGCAATCGAGGATTGTTTGCCGATTTCGACAGATCTTTAACCTCAGGACCAAGAATAATGAATTCTCTACAAACGTTTTTCTATTGAATATTAATTTTGATAGAAATGGAAATATAACTGATCTGTAACCTTTAATAATTATACTTTTGTCTGAAGTTTATTTATTTTCTCTTCTGCATTTAAAATATGAAAATATACAAAATAATTTTACAATTTTTCATTTAACTATTCTCAGAATGGGTTTTAATATCTAAAAATGTAATTTTGATTTAAAATAAAATACAAATCAAATATGAGCTCTCTTAAATTAATATTTTCCACTTTAATTAAAATATTTAATTATTAAATCATGCAATAATAATAATAATAATAATAATAATTAATAACAGTCTTTAAAATCTACTCGTTCCACTTTTATACCACATTTTAAATACGTTAATATTGTATTAATTAGAGCCTGAACAAATTTCTATAGAAACCCTTTTTGAGGTATTTGTTCTGTTCTGAGCAAAGAATTTTTCCATTAAAATTTAGGCTTTGCTTTTTTTATTTTTTGGCTAAGCCCCACGGCGATCGTCTGGCCTCAAAAACTGCCGAAATTGAGATCCTGCCCAAGGATCGCAGGCTGCATCCGCTTTGCGATAAATGCGCTTGTGAAGAAAATCAGAGCCTGGGGCCTCGTAAATCAGGCTGCCAAATGTCATTCGGCGACTTGACATGCTGCATAACAAGTTTCTTCGTTGTTTTCCTCGGGTTTTTGGCTAAAAAAGTGAGCTGCATTATTTCGAAACTCCGTAGTTTTTTTTTTGCGGCTGCTTCGTTTGGTTTTTTTTTTGTTAGCTGCCTGTCAAATTACTTGAGGGCGCCGCAATGTCTGAGAATTATTTGTGGGTACGAGGACGCAAAGGATGCAACTGCAGACACAAGACACGAGGGACGAAGGATCTGCAGTGCAGACAACTCTTTTTTCGGGTGGATAAACCTTTTTTTTTACGGAGTCCGAGGAACCCTGTGAGAAATGCAAATTTGGAAGGAGAAAAGAAACAAAAAAAAAGACGGAAATTTGTTAGGGAATAAGAGTGGAAAAAAGCGCTGCACTAATTTGATTTTTAGGAAATGCAGTCTTGAGAAGGGTGCTGCCCACCCCCCAGAGTTTTTTCCTCCTGGCAACAGTAGCAGCAGCAGCAGTAGCAGCAGCAGAAGCAACAGCAGCAGCATGAAGTCGAAGTCGAAGGACCTCAAAGGACCTCGGAGCAGTGGCTGCCATTTTTTGGTCATTTATCAAATTTCAAGCAAAAGCAGATCAGTGTTTCAGTGTGTGTATCTGTGTGAAGTGAATATCAAAACAAAACAAGGACATCGGAGTCGTTTTCTTGCTCTCTTTGCGGCAAAGTCCTTTTTCGGGGCGCGTCCTGTCGTCCTGTCAATCAAAAGTCCTCTTCGATTTTTCCCAGATCCCCTCACTCTCTCTTTCTCTATCTTTCTATCATTCTCTCTCACTCTCTATCTCGTTGTAGGCTTGTCGACTTTCCCACATTTGCATTTCCCTTGTGCAACTTTGGCATGCAAATTTCTCGCAAATCCCCGAAATCCGCAATATTTATCGCTTACATGCCGAAAATCAAGTTTCGCACAAATTAGGCAAATTTCGTGCTTCGGGCCACCCATATATCCCATATAGAGTATGTCAAGGGGTTTAGGTAGGTTTGTGTCAACCCAAAAGGCTAATGCCTAATGCATTCGCAATTAGTTGGCCAAACCCTCGACTCAACTCGACTCGGCATTCAAATTGAATTTATAATCGATTTAGATCATTTTTGCAAAGCTGCCAACACACAAATGGCAAATCCACCCCGAATCATCGAGACGTAACCCTTCCATCAGCCAAAACGCTGTCTGTTGTTGTTGCTAATTTCGATTCTAATGAAGCGCGAATTACGAAAACATGGAAATCGTATCAATTACAGAGACAAAGATCAGCCTCAAAATCTGCCCTCGAATCTCAGCCAGCGGCCATGAAAAGCGCAAACATGGTTGAGTTTTTTTCGGGCGCTTAGGGAAAGTCCTTTAGCAGGACTTTTGTGCCCTTTCATATGCTATGATCGAATAAAGGTGGGCTGAATCGAATGGCAAAATAGCATTTGAAAAATGCAATGCTTACCTATTGGATTAATTATAACAGACACATTTGTTTTAATACACATAAAATCTTTAAATCATACTAATTTTAACTATTTAGGATACGACCTGAGAAACGTGCATTTTATAAAATGCAAATATTTGTTAAAATAAATAACAACCGAGTAAGATAACTTATGAGCTGGTTCTTCAACTTTGGAACCCTTTTTTTTAAATAACTGTGAGCCCTGAACCCATCAAGAACACAAAAGACCTCGTTTGATGGCTCATTAAATATTCTTCTAGCCAACCTCCAAGGAGTCAAGAACTTTCCGTCAACAGTCAGCTGAATAAGCGACCGTCGATACAATGACATAACAGATCCACAGCTGTCCGACTTTTGACTTAAGAAGGACGGCTTGAAGAACTCGAACGGGGGTCTCAGCGGGATTGGGCAACCGTATTCTCAAGTACTCTCAACTGAAGTTTCGGGGAAACGAGGTTTTCCACGAAAACCCAACCAACCAAACTCCCCCGCAATCCTCAATCCAAAATCCTCAAGGAATACGCAATGAGAATCGCATTGCCATTATGATGAGCATATTGAATTCTCTTTCGGGTCGAAAAGTTGATGGCCAGCTCGTAAAATGCCAAGATCGACAGCGGACGTCACATAAACATGGCCAACCGGCTGCTAATATAGGGCACGAGTCCAGCAAGGATGCGGGGATCCAGCCAGGATCTGAGCCGGGCATCTGGGCAAATATTTACCGAAGCTTCGGCTCGTAAATTGCCGCCTACACACAATGGCATTTTGGGACCAAGTACAACTCAAAGTGAAAGTAATGACCGATATATCCCTGGACAGAGACATTAGGCTACTGTTTTTGTAGTCCCGAAAATCTTTGCTTCTGCTTCTGCTTCTGCTCCGGCTCCTGCTATTGCTTCTACTCTCTACTCCCTACTCCTGCCGTTTCCCTGGGCAATTGTTCCACATTTTGGACAACACACGAGACAAATCTGGGCTAAGACACCTTGCGACGTCACCGTGTGGGTTTCCTTTCTTTTCCCACTTTTTTTACAGTTCCTCGCCAGCTGTCCGTAGACCAGAGATCATTGTTCAGGACATGGGCAGAGGCAAAAAGCAAAGTCTGGCCAAACAAAAAGGACCTATTCGACAGGGATTTACCTGCTTAGCCGAGCGACTGACTCTATTCTTTCACCGGAAGAGAGAGGAGAGTGTAAGGATGCGAAGGAAGACAGAGAGAGAGTTATTCCGGAGAATGCTCTTACTTTTCACCCAGCGCCCTCTGGCGGACAGTGGCTGAAACTGGGATCAGCTGAGGTCCTGATATCCTCAGACTTGGAAGAAAATCGTTTTGTTTTTACTCTCTCTCCTTCAAATTATCACACTTCTTAAAAATAGTGGTTCTAAATATTACCAAATTTGATATATCTCACTGTAATGATTATCTTTTCTTTTCTGGAGTAATATTTATTTCACCTTATCATTTTTTCCAACTTGATTATTTGAAGTTTTATTAATAACTGTTAGGTGCCATGCTTGTAATCTCCCCTTCTAAATCTTTGTCTTTTGACATCCCTTTTATGATACTTGACAATTTTCCCACCAAAAATCCCCCATTGGCTCCCCAATTTGTTTCTTTCCTTATCACTTGCTTGCATATGAATACAATTCCCACACATCTATGATAAGAAACATGAGAATCTACGTTTGTATTAATGTAAGATAGTTTTCGATACAACCATAGCTTCCTATTTTTCTTATCTAATCTGTATTATTATTTGTACCCAACATTTTCCCACAGCTGAGATTCCGTTAGACTGAATCGAGGCCAAAGAGAGTTTTGAACCACTTCTGCGCACTCTATTCTCTTTTTAACGCTCTCTGGTGGTTGGTTTTCCACTTCGTTTGACATCGTGAGGACCTCGTTTTTTTTCGTTCCGCTTCGGTCTTCCAACCGAACCTTTGCCGAAACGTGCGTCTGCGCAAATCATCATTTCCGTTTCTGACCTCGTGCCAAGCAGACACGTGAACTACGAGCTAAGAAATTCTACAAAATACTTTTGGCTTTAAGAACTTAATTGGCTTATTTTTTTTTTCTGTGCTAAAAATCTAAAAAAAAAATTTTGTGAGCTACAGTTTTGTAAATATAACCAAATCAGTGCTGTAAATCAAGTTTGACTAGAGTATACATCGAGCTGCAGTTCTCCAGGCGACCTAGTCGCAAGCAGATCAAGTTACCAGGTAAGTCTACACCCCACAAGTCATACAATCCGTGCCAAGGCAGTGATCGATCCGATACGATCCGTCCATTTAGATCGATCGATAGATCGCTCGATAAGCTCGGTTTCCGAAACGGCGGTACACCTGGAAGGGAAAAACAATTACGATCGCACCCATGAGGTAGCCGTGTTTGTCTTTGCTCTAGCTCTAATTTTAATTTAGCCAAAAAGAAAAAAAAAAAAAAGGAAAGAAGGGACGTAAGTCCCTAACCCCTAAAGACAGAGAGATCCAGATCCAGATCTCGGGGCCCACAAGAAAAAGGGGTGGTGCGTCCTCTAATACATTTAATTTGTTGCTGTGTTGTTTTTTTTTCCCCCTCAACTTCTTTTTTTTTTTCTACCACTACCACCACCCCGAGCTAATCCTCCGGGCACAAGTCACACACACACACCGTGCGAAGGATCTTGGGCTGGAAAGAAAATATTTTTTCTGCTCGCCTTTACCGGCTGCCCTTGCTCGTGCAATTTCGCCCGGCTTTTCATCTTATTCTGGGGCTGGGGTGACGTTTATGGATTACACGAAAATCCATTTTCCATCTCACTCTCGGCGATAGACAATGGCCAGAATCTCTGGGACGATCCTTTGAGGAGGCCCCTTTTGGCATTGCCATGGGCATTGGCTTTGCCTTTGCCGATTGCCGCATTTTTGCAAAATGGCATCATTATGCTGGGGCGTAATTGTTGCACGCACACACACGCACAGCTAAAAAGGAGGATCGAGGATCAAGGATCGAGGATAGAGGATCGGCGATCGGCATAGAGCATCCTCGGAAGGACTCCTTTGGGCAACAAGAACCCGCTCAATTTTATGGTTGGCAACCGCAGCGCAGAAATCTGTTAGGGAAATTAGCATAAGTTTAATTTCAATTTAAATGCAAACCTGAAATTCGCAAGGACAGCGGCGAGGCAAAGGAACTCGTTTGCCGCAAAAACAATTTGCAAACTTCCTGCTTTGTCCTGCACTTTGTTTGCTGTTTGCCAGTTCGCCTCCTTCATTTGTTGCCGTTGTTTTGCTGCCTCGAAATTGTCTGGAAGAGTTCCCAAAAAACCAAGAACGAAGGACAGCAGAAGAGTGGGAAAGAACGAAACCAGATCGGAACCCGTCGCTCTGATCCCCTTGTTTGGCAGCCAGCTGCTTAGGACCAAGAGCCAAAACCAAGGCCCAAGGACCAAGGACCGAGGACCGAGGACCTTTCCGAGCAGACCCGATTTGCCAGCCAGATCCGGGAAATCATCGAGAGAATACTATTCTATATCAGCAACAAGCTATGACCAACAGAAGCTAAGAAAAAAATCGCACGATAAGTGGCAGAAAGCGTAAATAGTAATATTTACTAAAATTTAATTTTTCTTGGATTATTATATCAAATCTATAATTAAATTAATTTCTCTACTTGACAATATATTGTTTTCTACGGTTTTATGAATTCAATCAAATAGATTTCTATTAGTTTCAAATGTATTACATCTTTATATATATATTTTTGTATTGCTTATATAATTATCCTGAAAATATCGATACAATCCGATATTCACTAATTCCTGAATATTTATAAAATAAAATTTATAAAATTTGAAAAAAAATCTTTAAATAGCTTAAAATGTCCCAGGAATAAACGGAATACCCAGTGTGTTTTCTCTTTTTATATACATACTTCCCAAATTAGACTTGATTAGTCTAAGAACTCGCAGACTAACCAGGTATTTCCTTTTTCTGTTGTCCTTTCCAGTAGGGACATGCCAACCATGACACGGATGCATCGCCACTCCAGTTCCAGTGCCGTGGTGGAGGAGTCGCGTGGGCGGCGCCGCGGAGTGGGCGTGCCGGGGGCAGGAGACGCCAACAAGGAGAACTTCGGGGTGCACTATGTGAGCAGTCCCTTCGGCAATGCCAGTCTGATTGCCCTGCAGGATCTGAGCAATGTGCACGGGAAGAGTCCGCAGCGCAGGAGTTTCAGCGAGGGCAGTGGTCCCCGGCAGGCCACGCCCCAACTGGCCGCCCTTCGCTGTCTGCCCAGAACCACCGGCGGTGCAGGGGGTGGTGCATCAGTTGTTGCTCTCGAAGACTCTCAGCTTTCCTCATCGCGAATGGGTGACACCACGCTGGATCGCATGCTGGATGCCATAATCGAGTCGGCCCGAAAGGAGGTGAGATGTCCAAAGCCAACACTGGGCAACACCACAAGCACCGCCGCCTCGGCGGCATCCACCATTCTGGTGGATAATGGCGAATGGAGCGAGACCAGTGTCCACGAAATGGAGGTGCGCACACCCACCCACTTGAAGCGGCAGCGGGTGGTGCGGCGCAAGAATCCACACAAGACCCACCAAACCACCACCAGCCAGGCGCAGAGCCACCACCACCAGACCAAAAAGATGGAGCAACTGCAGCTGATCCCCAGCACCAAACGCTGTCTGAGCTTCTCATCCAGCTCGGCTTCGAGTGATTTGGATGAGGATGAGCAGCAGGTGGCCAAGAGGAGTTCGCTGGCCTCCTCCTCCGCCTCCGCCTCCTCCTCGGCCACACCCCCCTCCCACAGTGGCGACAGCAACAGTGGGGCTGATTTGGATTTGGAGGCAAGCCAGCGGGGCAGCATCGATGTGAGCATTGCGTACGATGCCAAGGAGCAGCAACTCAATGTACATGGTGAGTTCCAGAGGGCCCAGAAACCAGAATCCTAACTCATATTCGCTTAAAATTGTTATTAATTCTCTGTGGTCTTAAACTCTGTTAAAAAGATGCATAAAAGTATTATAACTTTATTATTTTAATATAACCACTGAACATTCTTTGAGAAACTACTTCTAAATTCAATGAAAAACCATAACTAACTTTTAGCATAAAAATAAAATAAATAACCTCTTCAAGTTACATTTCCAAGCCTTCAAGCATCTCAATAGAATTTAATATAGCCAGTGAATTGAATTTTGTTTCCCAGAATAAACCATTAAAGTAGAAATAGTAGCCAAGGGCAAGGTATAAACCGTCCAGACGCAACTCAATTTCGCTAAATAGAATTATCAGGGGAGTCGCTTGGCGGGATTTCAAGCTCAAGAGATTCATTACCCAGCTCACCGACTAATTGCTCCTGCTTTCTCCGCCTTTCTCCGTTGCAGTGATTCGCTGTCGGGACTTGCAGCGTTCCCATGACAGTGGCAACGGCAGCATAAATGCCTACGTCAAGGTGTCGTTGTCCGGCGGAATGCAAAACCAACCACCCGGCGCACACTGCTCCGGGAGCAGCCTGAACTCCGGATACCAACGCACCGCCGTCCATCGGCACTCGGGTCGTCCGTACTTCGATCAGCGCTTCAGCTTCCCGATTCCCAGTGGCGAGGAGGCCAATGGTCAGCATCTACAGTTGGCCGTGTGGCATAGGGATCGCCATTTAAAGTGAGTACGAGTACGGTCGAAAGCCAAGAAAACAACAAGAAAGTAACCCCTAAATTTAAAGAGTGCACGTTGAAAAATACTACTAAAATGTAAGAATTCAAATCAGTCTACTTATGTTATTCAGGAGTGGCAAGAGTTTTGCAAAAACCCACACACAAACTGGATTCCAATTAATAATTAATTATAATTAAAATTAGTACAATTTCGTTACTATCCAAAGTTTTTACCCATAATTTTCCAGATCTTAATAGTTCTTAAAAATAATTTGTTATTTACCACAACCTAATCTAAATTAGTAACTAATTAATTTTAATGGGTAATTTTCCTAATCAGATTAGTTCTAATGTTCAATTTAACACAATCTTAAATAGATCTTTTAAATGAATACCCATTTAAAATGAAAATAATGAAATCAATAAGTAATTTTCCGTATCATAATAGTATTATCATTCAATAAATCCAGTTAGCAGTGCTAGATAGCTATAAAATATGACCAGATTGACCCCCGTTCGATATCCGTTTTTTGCGCGTGCCATCATCGTTCGCCGTTCTTCGTCCTGTTGTAAGTCATTCACCCCTAAACGTTTATCGGTGGCAGTTCTGGAAGGGAATGGATTAGATGTGGGAGGGGGTCCTACTCCACAGACAGGCAAAAGACCAAGTCTGGTTAATTGTGGCGCTCTTCCTGGCCTCGTGGCACCTCCAGCGCCTTTCGCCATTCGCATTTCTCCTTTCGCCTTTCGCATGCCTAGTGCATTTCCTGCACATAAACAAGCGCTCGGCCCTCACCCCCTGCATTTTCCAGCCTTCCAGCGCGGGCGCAGTGGATCGGGGACGCCTTTCCAGCGACTTTCCCGGGCTGACCTGCGCCGCTTCGTGCTGCTTCTCGTTTGAAGCATTTTCCCAGCTCAGTTCCCGTTACTTAGTCCGAGTGGCAAGCTCGCGTGAAAAGCGACGAACAAACGGCGAACGGCAAAACGGCTGGCAACGCTCGAAAAAGCAGGAAATCGAGGCAAAGTAAGCCTTAAACAAAAATATATTCGCTGCGGTAAACAAAAATGTTTTTAACAAATATCACACTTTTTGTTTAAATTTTTTTGAAGTGTTGTGTTTAATTCTAGTGCCCAAAAAGTATGCAACGAAAACTTATATAATGGTGTGTGTGTGCCTGTGTGTGTGTGTGTGTGTGAAGCATGGAATGTGTAGCATAATTTCGGGCATGCTGCTAAACAAATTGCGAACAGGAAGTGGAAGTCCTGCGTGTGTGTGTGTGAGTGTGTGTGTGTGCGTGCCTTGAAGTATCTGTGTGAGGCCTTTCCGCAACATGCTTCAAAGTTAATTAAAATTCAAGGACATTAAGGAGTTTAGTACTTGGGAAATAATAAAGGAGGTGGTCAGGTCCCAAGTTTAATGCCAAATCGATGCGAGCGGTTAATGCGATTATGCAATAATCACCAGCTCACGCACACACACACACCCCCCTTCCTGCCTTCATTCCTTCCTATCTTGTTTTTTTTTTTTTTTTTGGTTTCCTTTTTTACTGTCAGCAGCTAATTGAAGTGGCCAACTAACTAAATGTACACCCGGGAACCATATCACCTATTTCATTTCCCTGCCTCACACGCACCTGCCTTTGGTTGCTGGCCATGCATAATTTACCATCCACCTCCGAGTTGTGAAAATAGTCTAGGCCAAAGAGGAACGTTTTAAGTCAATTTACAAAACGACTGGCGGCTGAATAATTTATGGTCAGCTTTTCGGCACAACGTGGAGGTGGTGGAAGTACGAAAAGCCAACATTTTTAATGCACCTCCACGACTGACAGTTGCGATTGCAATCGCCCCCAAAAACAAAAAATAAAAACAAAAAAAAACACAAAAAAACATATAAAAACCCCCGGACTCCGTAAGGAAAATCAATAAAAGTGACCCAAATACGCGCGCCAACTTCAGCTAAAGTGGCCAGTGGAAGAAGCAGCAGACAGAGCCTCAAGCCACTGTCATACGCCCCACTTAGCCACCCACCGAGCCACCCACCGAGTCACCCACTCTGCCTCCCACTGAGCCAGCCAACAAATTGGCCGGGCCAAGCGCATTTCCGGGCCACATGTAGTACGGTTATACGTACTTTGTGGCATGTGGAAATGTGGAATGCGGCAGCAGCTTAGGGCCGCTAATTGATTTATGTCACGTACGACCAAGGAAACTAGGTGCCACGGATTGGATCAGCTGCGGGCGGGCCATCTTCACTCACGTCTATATAAATAGACAATGTCCATCGGACGTTGCAACGTGACGCAAACAGACCGAAATAGGTGGTTTTGGTTTTTGGTATTATCTAAACGCAATTGCGAGGGGCCAAGGATTTCGGCGGACCAACAGTTCATTTATATTTAATGGCCGTATTAGTTGTCTCAGTTTGTCAATTGCCTTCAACATGACCATTTGATCCAATCATCTGCATTCAATAATTCAGGGGACTGAAAACCTTGAAAAGTTCTCAAAAAGGAGGCTAAATTTAGTCGAAATTTACAGCCCCTCATTAAACTAGCTCTTACAACATGAATATAAATTTCTTAAATCAATAATGGACTTCAATCAATAAGGTTATTAGCATTTAGGCTAATATATCGTGATTTTTTATATATTTATAGATAAACGAAACTTATTAAAATAAATTATTTATTCTTAATATTTAACAAATAATGACTGTGTATTTTTAAAGTCTATTTTAAGAACTCGTATTTATAGTGGTAATTTTCCTTGGAACACCTCAGCTGATTTATTGTTTTCCCATTCATTTTACAGACGCAGCGAGTTCCTGGGCTGCAGCAGTTTTCCACTGAATGAGCTAGTGCATCCTGAGGCGGGAATTACGGCCGGATCCTACAAATTGCAGGCGCAGGCATGTCCTCCGCCTCCTAATCACCGCCAGAGTCAACCCAAAGCCAACGCAGGCCAGGATCGGAAGCAGGATCAGGATAAGCATCAGGACGAGGACGAGGATCATCTGGAGAACTTTCCCGCAGAAATGGCAGCCGCCGCCACAGTCACGCCCCAAAAACCCGCAGCCACTGGATCCGGATCGGGATCGATTTCGGCTGCTATGCCACTCAACGACGAGGTGATCAGCATCAGCATCGACAGCATGGGCAAGGAGGATCCGCTGCTGCCCCAGCAGCCGCAACAGCCCATGAGGCTGAGCAAGAAGGCGCTCCACCAGCGAGACGCCGACGAGAATCTCTTTCTGCGATTCCTCGAGCTGGATCCCCCGGCGGATGGCAATGCGAACAGTACAACCCAGGCGGCACCGACGACGGGCGGCCAATCCTCGGCCTCGAAGGCCAACGAGAGCAATGCCAATCACCTCAACGGATCCACCGGTCGCAGGCAGTCCACCATGCCAAACAGTGCGGGATCCAGCGGAGGAGGAGGAGGAGCTGGCCGCCAGCAGCCAGGTCGAACGCCCTTCACGATGACCAAAAGACTTACGCGAACCGAGGAGCGGGGCTTTGGATTCTCCATTGTTTGGACCCATCCGCCGCGCGTGGAGAAGATTGAGGCGGGACTGTCGGCCGACCGATGTGGCATCCTGCCTGGCGACTATGTGATCTTTGTGGACAAACACAATGTGGTCACGATGCCCGAGGCTGATGTTCTGAATTTGATACGATCGCAGGGCTCGTCCTTGACGTTGGAGATATTCAGAAGGTCAGGCGCGGGCGCCACAACAATCACCACGGACCTGAGCCACCACCAGAGCAATGCCAATGTGAGCGGCAGCAGCAGATTGGGCATGGGCATGGGCATGGGTCTCGGCATGGGTGTGGGCGTGGCGGTGGGCCTGGGCAGCGAGGAGCACACGCTGGCCACCACCACCACCGGTACGACCACCGTGATGAGTCTGCAGCGGACGGCCAGCTCGAGGATCATCCAGCCGGTGGGCAACAGCCTGAGCCGACCGGCCACCGCCTGCTCGGGAACCACCTCCTCCATCGAGGCGGCCAAGAGGAGGCTCCACCTGCCACAGGTCACCTTCAGCAAGGAGGTAGGCAAAGGTGTCTTCGTCTAGGGATCATTTCTATTTAATATTATTATTTTTTTGCATTTTTCGTGTCTTTGTGTACATACTTATCTGTTAAGTTTTAATGTCTAAGTTATCGTGCCATGCTGGTTATCATTACTATTATCTAATTATTTATCCATTTTTTTGCCTAGCCAAGGCCTCTAATTTGTTTGAGAGTCCTTAACGCCCTGCGACCCCACACAACGCTTGACAATAAAATTTTTTTTCCATCCCAAAAGCTTTTGAGTTTTGATTTTTTATTGGTTTTATACAAAATATATGGGCTTTAAACAAACATTTATTTTTAGCCCTAAGCTACAATGCATTTTTTGACAACCATACAGTTATCTCTTTCAATTTACCATGTTTCAAAATGTAAATGTAATTTAGAAGGGAAATCAAATGTTTTATTTTTAAACTATCACATTTATTTTTTTTTATTTCTTTTTAAATCATACTTGTATATTAAAAATGTATAAAGCAGCTAAAAACCATTTCATTTAGTGTTTAGATCTTTTATTTATATTTAAAAGCTAAAGACACTGCTAAATATGCCATAAGAGTTGTACCACATTTTTAGAAAAATGCTTACCATTTTGTGACTACAAAAGACTATGTACCTTTGTTTTTAATATGCTAATAAATTTCCAAGCTTTGATATGGTTAAAATTGTATTCAAAAGAACCAAATAATTGTATTCCTTTTTAATGTCTTTTCTTTAAGCAAAAAAGATTGTTTATATCGTCTAAAAAAGCCAAAGAAATGTATATTTCATTTTTACATTTAAGGTTTTGTTATACCTCTAAAAATAGCCAATCAAATTTTAATTTCCTATGGCGAAGCATTTGTTTGAAAATTTGTTTGAGCTGTTGAATTTGTGACATTGTTTTCCTGCTTTTAGTTTAAAATAATACTCTAGAATTCTATTAAAGCCTTTCCAAAGCCGCTAACTGACCCCCTTTGACCCTTCTTAATGCCCCGCAGTCGATTGTGCCCATCACGGACAACCGTCGACGCTTCCTGCTACAGCTGATCAGTCGAGAACAGAACTTCACGGCTGCCCTGCACTTCGGAGTGGAACGATTTGTGCAGCCGCTGGTGGAGAGGAAGGACTTGATCTCGCCGAACGATCATCGCACCTTGTTCCAGAACATCGACGAGCTGCTGCGGATTGCGGAGGACATCCTGGAGCAGTTGTGCAGCAGTGATCAGCAGGATCAGGAGCCGCAAATGAACTTCGCGTCGCGTGTTTACCTCTCGAAGACCACAGCCATTTGTGCTGCGTACAAGAAGTACTGCAATGGAATCAAACGGGCAGACTGCGTTCTGGTGAATAAGTCCCGACAGACGGGGTCCGAGTTCATTGCTTTTATCACGGAACCGGCGGTGCCGCGTAAGAGGCCCGATCTCACCATGTTCATCCATCGACCGCTGCAGCATTTCCGGGAGATCCTCAAGCTGATGCAGTTGCTCGCTGGCAATTGCCATGTGGACACCGAGGAGCACAAGAACTTCAGCACGGTTATCAACGAACTGCAGGCAGCCTATCGCGAGATCACTGTGAGCAGTGGTCTGATGGAGCCGCTGGGCGAAGGTCGTCCGCTGCTAACCCTCCAGGATCTGGAGTCGCGGATGGTCTTCACCAAATGCAAGCCCTTCACGTTGGCCGTCCAGGGTCGCCAGTGGATCTTTGGCGGCGACTTGTCCCGGGTCGAAGGGCGTTCGGTGAAACCCTACTGGACCCTGCTCTTTAGCGATATCATTGTGTTTGCCAAGGTCAGTCGGGATCGAGTGCTGTTCATCACGGAGGAGCCCATTCCCATTGCCAATGTGGTGGACTCCTGTTTTCACATGCGCAAGAAAAGTGAGTGAGAGCTGTGATTTGTCCTGACCCTGACTTGATTGCCCTCGACTTTCCCCTTGCAGCCACCGAGTTCCGTCTGACAGTGGATCCCAATGGACGTCTGGCGGAGAGTCCCACGGGCTACTGTGCCCCCGATCTCACCCGCACTCCAAAGCGAGGAGCCCGCCGCAAGAGCCTCATTTTGAGGGCACCCTCGTTGGAACTCAAGGCCGTCTGGCAGAATCTGCTCCAGCGTCAGATGTAAGTCATCTCTGCAAGGGTTACACCAGCCATAAAATACCCATGCTAGTCTATTCTTAAAATAATTCATAACGAATATTTTAAGGGGTTTGCCACAGAAATCATAGCTAAAGAGGTGTCTAAAAGTATGCAACAATATATTTTAATCGGAATTATGAAACATTTATTCTAGACTACGTTTTTGCCAAGTTATTGATTTATATGCCGTTTTTTATCACATTTTCCAAAGATTTTTCAAAAGATTTTTTTGATATTGATCTTTTTTTTAATTTATTTGCAATATAAGTAAATATAAGAGGTTTTAATTATATTAGAATTTTGGAGCATAGGGTATTATTACTCTCTAAAGAAATTACAAACAGAATGTAGTCACTTATGCTTCAAATATTCCCCCAGATTTCTAGTTAATGCCGCTCTGGGCTCCACGCCTTTGTCCAGTCCCTTGGACTCGCCGGATGTCCTCAACACATTGGTGCCACTGAGCGATATTGGACTGACCACCGCCTCGATGGGATCGATGAAGCTGCCCTCGCTGGACAGCATCCACCTGAAGCAGCAGCAGAAACAGCAGGTGCGTCTCTTTCGCAGCAAGCGTCTGGACAGCGGCGATTCGTACGAGAATCTTCAGCGGCTGGCCAGTGCGGTGAGGCACCACTGTGCCAGCACCACCACGAGCAGCGCCACCCAGACGCAGTCGCATGCCCAGCCGCCCCTGTGCACCACCTCGCTGCCCTCGCGCACCACCTCGCCGGCCCGAAAAAACCACCACCATTCGGGTCACCAAGTGGGTGGTCATGTGGGCTCGGGTTCGGTGCCCAATGGAGTGGGTGGTGGTGGTGGTGGTGGTGATGGTAGTGGTGGTGGTGGTGGTGGTGGTGTTGGTTTGGGTGGCTCATTTTTGAGCAGCAGCGCCAGCTTGATCCAAACGCAGTCGCAGGTCCACACCCAGACCCAAACCTCCGTGCTGTCCCTGTCCAGTTGCAAGTGCCTAACGGCCATTCCTGAGGTCACTAGTGAACCACCACCGCCAGCACATCCCTCACAGAAACTCCTCGAATTCAGCCTGAGTTCGGTGGGTCGTTCGTTCATCGATGAGTCCATTGGTGGCGCAGTGGTCGGTGCTGGGGGTCAGGTATCGTTGACGACTCCAGAGACGCCCACACCGAATATTTCACCGACCACATCGCAGCCCTGCAATTCGGATGCCTTCTCCAATGATTTCGTGGTGGCAAAAGCACCAAATATTCCCCTGGCTGAATTCGGGGGATCCTGGGATCTTCTAGAGCTCGACCTCCAGTTGCACGAGGTCAATTTAGATCCCTGCTACGACACGGATGTGGAGGAGTGCATCTTCCTGGGCGACGACGAGGTGGTCGAGGGTCACGGACACGTCGAGGACAGTGACGAGGAGGAAGAGGAGGAAGAGGAGGAGGAGGACGAGGACAGCGTGGTGGTGGACGATCCCTTTGGCATGCTGCCCACCAGACCAACGCCGCCGGACTCGCTGGACCTGTGATTTGACTTCTGGCTGCAGTCAGACCCCCCCGTTAACAGCCCTTTGCCGCACAATCTTTGAATCTCGACGAGCTTACTACTCAACTATGTTACCACTGATCTAACCAAGAACCTAACCCAACCCCCCTCTTGATATCTTAATCTTATATCCCGCTCAATCGCCGTTTTGCTCTGCTTTTGCCTCAGCTTTTGGGCCAAGTTTCCCATTCTCACAATCGAAACTCTTTCAGTATAGTGACAGCATTCTCTCTTTGGAAGATTGGGGATTGACTTTGCCAGGATATCAGAATCAACAGTATAGTGAGATATATACAAGTGACACCCAAATAGCGAAAGATATTAAAGAATATGCCACCTGGATATAAAAATATTTTCAACAATTCGGAGAATTGAAATTACTATATTGGTTTGCCTATTATAAACCGTTTGAAGTGATTTCGTACCTCTAGGGATTTCTTTTTGCTGATGTTTAGAGGTTTTCCAAGGTAGAGAAAGTTATCCAATTCCTGACATTACTTTAAATGTGAAAGCTTTTTAGATCCAGGCGATAAGCATATGCTTTTAATTGACTCTTATTGCGAGTGAGAAGTGACAATTATCCAAGGAAAATTGTACATAGACATATAGCCATCGCTCTCTACGTGTTTGTATCTCTGTTGTGTATTGTATATACTCGTGTATTGACATCCATACCATATAACCCTCCCCAGTAAATGGTATTCGTTCCATCCAAGTCGATTTTGAATCGAGTGTAAATAGCAGTAAACCGTTGGAGGACAGCAGAGACGAAGATTCGATGACGATTGTATGTGTGTAACGCTAGTACTTAGCTCTTTTTAGTAATATATATATATGCGATTGAAACTTTTTTGCCAATCCATCGAGAAAAACCGAAGAAAACTAAACAAAAGAACAAAAAACTAAACGAGAAAAAACCCAAATGAAATTATACTAATGTTAATAATGCTTCCATTTTGTAGCCAAATTGAAAACCTATTGATTACTGTTATTGCTGTTGTTATCCTATATTAGCCTAGTCCTAGTTTATCCCGACTTTCCCAAAATTCTCGACACGGATCGGATCCTCCTCGTATGCTAAGTTGAACCATTAGCCAAATTTCTTGTAGACTCGCTCGATTACTCGATTTACCTAGTTAAGTTAACTCCATTGGCCAGAACAAATTGAATCAAAATCTTAATCAAAATCCAAATCCAAGTTGTATATATACTACTTCCCTATAAACAGACATCCGTATATATATTTACATAGTATCAGTATGTGTATCTTGAACTCGAACGAAATTTTGCTCAGTCGGAGGACTTTTGGCTGGATGGCACACCATATTTGCTACTTTTATGTATCTGATCGATCTATCGATGTCAATTATCTATGACAAGCACTTTGTTGCCTTTGAAAACCTATCTTCAAGCTAACCACAAACATACATTTACGTATTAGTATATAAATCTGCACTTGATTGTCTTTGCACAGTGGGACGAAGTAAGCTGAAGTGGAAGTAGTTTGTAGGAATATTATTTATAGACATTAACTAGCATTACCTAGAGAACTTTTTAACTTAAACTCTATCTTTTTACCCTTTTTTGATTAGATTATAATATTTAAGTGTTACAAAGTTTAGTACTATTCTTACAAAACCCACAATTTATCATCCATTTACAAAGTTTTAAAGTTGAATCACATTTCTTAATGCTCTGCTATTTGGTCCCACAGTGCGGATTCGGTTTTGTGCAATAGCTATCCAGCCAGAAGTTTAAATATACCATACACACAGACAGACACACCAACAAAGCAACACCCACACAGATACACCCACACACACACCTGCACACAGACATCTATTGCAAATTTTAACTGATTGTTGATTATCAAGCATACCCCGCGTTGTCTTTTGCGGTCCGGTTTTTGTGTGTGCCTTGAGCAGTAAACAAAAAATAATGTGTATATTATATATATATATATATATATAAATATATATACTATTTAGATTCATATTCATATTCTGTAAACTTTATGTACGTCTAGAAGTTTTCGATTTATTGTTTTTCGACATTTTACATAACACGAGAGGATCGACAATCGACTATCGATTTATCGAGCCGTTTGAAATTGAGATTGCGAAGAGAAACGATGAATTCAAATAATAATAAAAACCAAATGATTCTTTGACTAAAAACGCTTGTGATGTTATTTTTATTTCACTTAAAAAACACTAAGGAAAAGAAAACCAAAAAAAAATTAAACCAACTAGTAACCCACCGAGCACTCACTGAATTACCATATAGATCCTGGTCAATCCTGCGATACAAGGAAAAAACAAAAATCTTTTTCAAACAAAGAAAAAAAAGATGAAAACAATCGAGAGCCAAAATTGAAAAATTAAAAATTGTGATGGACTCAATTTTAGTTTTAAGTTCGAATTGCTTCTTCCTATTCTCAAAACTGATTTCAACTTCCATTGCTTATTAGTTGTTTATTGTGTGACTGTACCCGTACCTCTTTACCGTTGTCTTGTGTCTTTTATATAACTTTTATCGTTTGCAAAGTCCTTTAGTCCCATTTAAACCGAATTTCATAGTAAGCCAAGAGCAAGCGTTTTTAATCAAAGATGGACTGAGATTATTGTTTCCGTTCCGTTTCTCCGCTTCGCAAAAAAAAAGAGTTGTCTCAGCTAAAATCAAAGCCAACTGCAAGCCAAAAAGCAAAGTAAAGACGAACACAAAGCAAGGCCCGAGCAAAGCAAAAGCAAAAAGCAAATGAGCCCATCACAAATTTTAATTTGCCAAATGATAGCCGGGTGGCAGTGGGTGGTGCTGGTGGTGCGGTGGTTAGAGCTCAAGTTCAAGGTCAAGCTCAAGGTCCCCGGGTCCAGGTAACGTATTATTTATTTTATCCGACATTTTTTCAGCAGCGCAACAACCATGCCCATGCTAACGCCCACTCCGCCGGAGGAGTAGCCACCGAAAGATCTGCAGATCGATCCCACGGCCACAGCCATGGCGTCCATGGTGGTCACGTGGAGCAGATCGAGCTGCTGATCGACGAGAAGTGCCGCATTCTGAACAAAACGGGCACCCCCAAGTCGAGTGCTCTGCACCTGGCCAACTGGATGAAGGGCCAGCTGGACAAGCAACAGCAGCAGGCCCGCCTGGCGGCCATTGCGCGATCGCAGGAGAACGTGAGTGCCGAGGACGAGCAGCTGATCTTCAACAGCGACAGTGAGCAGGACGAACGAATCACCTACTGGACGCGTCAGCAGCTGGAGAAGCGCACCAAGGAGCTGAATCTGGCCAAGGAGAACGGCGCCCTGTCGGCGAAGCCCAATTTCGGGGGAAAGCGATTGAGCGGCGTGGAGGAGCTGAGCATGAGCGCCACCTCCGATATATACTCCACGTCAGAGGCGGAGGGCGTGACCAGCGTGATCAGTCAGTCGCACAGCACCACATCGGACAGCCAGGTGAAACGGGGGGCTTGTACGCTAATTGTTTGCCCCAAAAAAGTATGCTATGAAAAACAGGATGGTCCTTCGAGACGGATAGCTAGCATTTTAAGGTTTCTGGTAGATTCAGACACATTTAACTTATGTATGCTAGGAAAAACTGGATGGTCCTTCGAGACGGAAAGTTACCGATTTAGAGCTTCTGGTAGACAGATTCAGACACATTTTACATATGTATGCTAGGAAAAGCAGAATGGTCCTTTGAGATGGATACTACTTTAAACATTCAGTAGAAAAACTTATCACACATTTCACTTATATGATCTTTTGATCCATGTCAACCATGTAACCTTTCTGGGAATCAAAAGACTACCCACATTTAAAAAAACTGATATTTGATGCTTTAACATCATTTAAGTTTCGTTGTCAATTGAAATAAGCCGACCTACATCAATATGCTAAAACCTAATGCTACAATTTAGTTGAGAAAATTCACCCATTTGCTTAAAGACCTGCCTGCTTACTTGTAGTAGACCACGCTAACCCTGCTTTTTCTCCCTACCAACTTCTTCCTGTTCGCCTGTTATTCTCCACTGCCAGATCACCGTACGCTCGAGCCCCATTGTACTGGACAAGCTGGCCGTCTGCCGCCACTGCCACAAGAATTGCCAACAGAGCGGACCGGGTGGAGTGCGTCCTGGCGGCGGCCCAGGTGGGGTGAACAACTCCAGTTCCGCGCCCGTCCTGCTCTGCACCTCTCTGAAGGTGCAGCACAGCCAATCCTCACCGAATCGCTGTTGCAAGCTCAACAATGGCATTCCGGGGCCTGCGGAAATGGTTAGCCCAAGAGCGGGCAATCGAACCGGAACTGGTAGCGTGACCAGCATGTCCAGTAGCACCATTACGGGGGAGCTGTCCTCCAAAGTGGTGGCCAGCAGCAGTCGCCGGGAAACCGGTGACACCGAAAGCGATGTGGCCCAACTGATAACCGACGAAATATCCCAATCCCAATCAGAGGCAACGGATGACAGCGTCGGTGCGATGCCCAACAGTAGCAGCAGTGCTGGCGAAGGATTCCCACCACCACCACCACCAGCCAGCAGCAGCGGCGGCAGCGGCATCCCCAAACTACGTCATCTAGATCCACCAGTCACAGTCACAACCACATCGCCCATGCCCAATGGTCACTGCTCCGCGGGCGGAGGTTCACCCAAGCCATTGCCACCACCACGTCGCACCCGTATCGTGGCCCAAATGTGCCAGGAACCACTTCGGCCAAAGGCCAACCAGCAGGTCAAGGCCATTGTGACAATTACGGAGACGGCCAGAATAATGCGGAGCAGTCCAACGAGGGGATCAGTGACGGGTTCGGTTTCGGGTTCAGTGAGTGGTGGTGGTAGTGGTGGTTCCCCTGCCAAATATGCCGCCTGCCATTGCCGCTGCACTCCGGAGGACTTTACGCATGCCCAACTCTCGCCGGATAAGATGGAGCACCAGACCTGCAAGCTACTGGAATCACCCAAACAAACGGCCACCAAGCTGCAGCAGCAAAAACAGGACGATGAGCAGTTGTCCATGATGCTCATCGGTCTGGCTCAATTTGCACCGGCCGCCAAACTTTGTGGCCAGGAGAGGATCGTCGTCAAGGAGGAGATTGGTAGTACACCCACGATAGCTGTGGTCCCACCCACCCCCGACTCGGTGCTCACCAAGACCAGCACTCATGTTTGGGACAACAGCGGCTGCTCCTCAAATGGCGGTGGAACCTCAACCACCAGCACCGCCACCACCACAACGAAACAGCCACGGCAGGCCATCATTGAGAACATACCGGAAGATTCGTGTGATGAGAGTCCTTTGGACGAGGATCCACCCTATCGACCCATGAGCAGTGCTCTCCGGCGATTTGGCACCATGTCCAGCTTAGAGAAGCTACCCTCCGACGATCGAATGGACGAGGCCGATGAACTGGACGATGATCTAGATTCGTATACACCAAATGGCCACGACGATGCCGATAGTCCTCAAAACGCAGGTGAAGATGACGACGAAGATGCGCGGTCAGATCGAGTTCTAGTACAAAGCGTCAACGATTTGGGGGGCGCCTCGAGTTCATCGGGCGTGAGGGTCAATGGCGAGGTTCTGGCCAGTGGAGCGTGGACAAATCGGGCCGGAGCCTATGTCTCCGACAAGATGTCATTCTTTGAGGAGTCGCGGGCCTTTATAGATAAGTACTTGGGACGCTGGAACGCCGGCGACGCGCAGCAACAACAGCAACAGGGAACCGCTTCGGAGACGGACGAGCAGATGGACGAGTGCACCTCGGGAGCCACCAGCGGCGAAGAGGTTTGGGGCACACCCACCAGTGGCGGGGATAACGATGATCAGGACATGCAGCTGATCAATTCGGAGAACACGCATTCGGTGAGTTGTGTATTTCTATCTTCTATCGCCCGCTATTAAATTAATAAGTACGAACGTATTTGTAGTCGCCCACCAAGTCAAGTACCTCTTTGAATGACGACGATGACACGGAACTGATGATGGACGAGCTGTTGATGGCACCTCCAATGACGGCCAGCACAATACGGGGATTGCTGCCACGGTATGTAGGTTGAGGAGCAGAAATTCCGGGTTAATTCGGCACTCCGAGAGCCAAAGACACGACCCACCAATAGTCACACACAGCTGGTAGAGAAACCCTAGGCAGTCGGACTCTCTAACTGTTGAACAACCATAAAACCGAGTATCTCGATATATATCTACCATATTTAGTATAGCTTAGTCTAGTGCCTCCATTGATCCTATTGTTAATAAGAATACGAATTTTCTTTTTTTCGTATACTCCTTTGGAAACTTTCTTTTCGTAGCTTTTACAGGTGTTTATTCTTTCGTTTCCATTCGTTTCACACACTCACACACACACACACGTATGTCACCCAATCCTAAAATCGATTCGAACCAATGTCATACATTGTATTCCTATCTGTAACCTTTATGTATACTATTAACTAGTATTGCTCACCTATTTGCGGGCTTGTCTTAGACCTAGTCATAGTCATAGTCAGGTCGATATTAAGGGGAGGGGGGTCATATCTCTGTAGCCTATCGCTCTATATTTACATATATTGTATCTACCGACGTATGTACTTATAACTTCAACTAAGTTTTGCTCAATTCAAAATTGATATATCATTTATGCCATCGACACACAATCAACACATCGATCGACTATTGCTAAATTCCAATTGAAATTCGTTTGCATACGCCATACACACGTATTATCGAAATCGTATATCGTATATCGTATCCGTATATCGTATATCGACGTAGACGTCGCCTTGAGCCCCTTTTTGAGGAGGAGACGGAGAGCGACGAAGAGAAGACGCAGCAGGACAGCGATGACATCAAAAAGGTGGGTCGTTATTACAGCAAATCCCAGACTCACGCCCCAAAAATCGAAATGCCACTGTACGAGTATTTCGTTCCAATCGAAATGCAACCGTGTTCAGTGCTCGCGTTCCGTTCCAATTCCGCATTCCGCTGCATGGCAAACTACTGCGAACGGCGGGCAACTGTACCCAAGCACCGGCAGGGATTTTCTCCCATCTGCTATAAAACTTTTGATATAATCTACTTGCATGTAGCTCTAGTCACTCAATGAACTAACCTTTGAATTGACCTTGGCTTGTCTTTCTATTTTATTTGTACTTTCATAAACCATCGACTGCAACTCGATCATCTCCATCTTCATCGAACAACCATCACCACCATCAATCAATCAACCAATCAATCAATCACGCTAACATGTTTTAACTTTGTATGTGTAAATTGTAATCTTTTTGCCTGTCTGCTCATTGTGTTTTGTAAATCGTTGTTGCTAAATACAAATACTTGTACTTGCATAGAAGGTCGTAGTGAAATTAGTGAAGCTTTAGCCCATCCTGCAATACTGCGAGCTCATCAACATCACACGTCCGGACAGGACTGACGACCAACCGCCACCTCCGAACTAACCCAATCGATATCGATTTCCGATCTGGCCCTCAAAATTCCGTACTCTAACGAACCAAACGAACCATCACCATCACCGACACCACCACCTCCTCATCCACATCCACATCCACATGAACATCGAAGGGCGGCGCCAACCGCTAGCAGGAATCTCTATCCCAACCAGAATTGATTAGTTGAATTCTATTCCCAACAATTGGTAGGGGGAAGCAACGACCAATGGCCACTACCTAGAGGATTTGGCTGGAAGTTCAAGCGACAGCGAGGAGGCGGCGCTACCAGTCCCGCCACCAGTTCCTCGGCCAGTGGTGCCGGATCGGGAGGAGGATCCGTTGGAGGCGGACAACCAGGACTACCAGGAGGATCAGGAGGATACACACTCCAGCGTGGAGCGACTGCATCCGAATCTGGTTACGAGTGCGATGGGGCCGCGTCCCTTGCTCACCACCCGCCTGCTGCCCACCACGGCCATCGATCCTCAGCCGCCGGTGGGCCCGGAGTATCTGGCCTCATCCTGCGAGTATCTGCTCGATCAGCGCCCCTCGAGCGGATCAGGACGCGAGTCCGCCGGCGGGATCGGAATAGGGATCGGGATCGGGATCGGGAGCATGCCATCCTCTCGGCCGACGCCTCCCTCTCCGGCGAAGCCAGCAGTGACGACAGCGATGCCGACCGGGATGATGATGATGACGATGACGACGACGACGATGACCACGACAACCACGACGACGACGATGACGATGACGACGACGCCGAGTCGAGCTCCCTCATCGATTACTACAACAACCAGCAGCGCGAGCGGCACTACGAGCTCCGGCGGCAGAGCCAGCGGCAGGCCTCCGAGATTTGTTCCGCCGCCGCCGCCTCCACGTCGCTTGCTCCTCACGCAGACCGATCTAAGCGCTGCCCAGGACAAAACGGTGAGTTCATCTACTTTTAAATCGGTCCAGCACAAAAAATAGCTCTAAGGCGCACATTTATTCTTTTTAAAAAGAATTTTAAATAGTATTTAATAGTATAATAGTAATGGCATTGGAAGAGCTAGTTTAAGTTCACTTTACTGCAATGTCATTTTTGAAAACATGGAAAACTTTATTAAAATTAAAAAAAAATATATTAAAAATTACAGAAATTACAAAATAATAGAGTATTTATAGAGAATTACATATTAAGGTTTCAGAGGTATGCCGCTTTAAAACCGGATCTAAATTGGTCAAGTTATGGAATTTGAAAATGCAGTTTTGGGTCTTTATAAGCAACCCATTTTTCTGAAATTCTCAATTGGTTGTAAACAAAAACCGACACAGAACTAAAAATTCAACTTTAAATAAAGATGATTAGAGAATGAAATTACAAATGTAAGAGGCATGCTTTAGTTGTGTGCCGACAAAAGGTTAGTCAACAAACAAAACTAGAACATTACAACTTTTTATTTTTTTTTAATTTTAGGAGCCACCTCGAAGAAAATCTGGCGCTACTGCTGACAGTGGCTCCTCGGCGGCTGTCGTCGGCGCCGCCAGTGCTTTGGACCCAATCGCTACCGGGTCAAGGATAATGCCATCAACGCCGATTACCAGCAGCTCGGCGGCGGCGGCGGCGGTGGGAGTGGCGGTGGCGGTGGGTCCAAAACGACCGTCATCAACGATAATCGAGACCTGCCTGCTGGGGGCACCCAGGCCCGCCTCAGCCACTTCATCAGCAACAGTCTCGAGGATGGCAAAGCCGATCCGCCAGAGTCCCACCACCGCCAGCACCAGCACCACCACAACCACCACCCACCATCATCCATCGCAGCCGAGGGCGCAGATCAGCCCAGCTGCAGTGGCATCGGCACCACCGCCAGCACCACCACCAGACGCAGCCGCTGCCCCAGCGCCCCACGTTGGATGCGGTCTAAGCCCAAGGCTGGAAATGCGGCTGGCCCTCAACCACGACATCCTCGGGGACGAGGACTTGATCTGCTACGAGCCTGGTCCCGATCTAACAACTATTCTGGGGTGAGTGTGCTGCTCTTAAAGGCAATGAAAATACAGGGGAGCCGTTATAAATAGATCGAGCTTTTTTGATGAAGTCATTGTTAGGCCCTGAATCTTCAAGAAATATTAAACAATCCATAACTTAAAGTTTATAAATACAAAAACAGGATTAAACAGGATTAAAGTTGAAAATATAGAAAATAGACTATAATTTAATGCTGGCTGTAAACGGTGCAGCAGTTGTGTATATGGCATTTAATTTTTGATTATTGAAAAGCTGCTGCTAAAGCTGGTAAAGAAGTTCTAGATATAGAAGATATACTATATTTTAGAGCTGGCTGTAAACGGTGCAGCAATTGCGTATAGGGCATTTTATTTTTGATCGGTTAAAAGTGGCTGCATCGTTTACAACCAGCTTGGGTTGCTAAAGCTGGTTAATAAGTAAAGCTAATCCCCTTTGCAGGCACGACCTCTCCACATTTCATCGTCTGACGGGTCGCGATTTATTGAGTCGTTCAGCCACGAACCGGGTGCAGCCAAAAGAGGCTGTCATATCGTACTCTCAACAACGCAACTCAAAGATGGACACGCCGACGGTGAACCGCCGGCCCCGCCCCCTCTCAGCGGGCGCCTTGAACAGCAGCAATCACAGTCGCAGCAGCAGCAGCCACGGCAGCAGTCCGCTCGCCGGTGGTTTAACCCGTGCCGCCGTCGAGCAAATGGGTCCAATGCAGGTGGTGCAGCCAGGTGGTGGATCTGCTGGTCGAGTCGGCGGCGGGAGCGGAGGCGCCGGCGACAACAGCACCGCCTGCAGCTCCAGCAGAGGCGGGAGCAAATTAGGCGATCTGGAAATCTTAGCGAGACGCGAGAAGATATACTCCATGTCTCAATCGAGGAGTGGCTGTCGAGTCAGGGAGACGACATCCACATCCACAATGTCCGCACCGATGTCGGCGACCATGAGTACGGGCACGACCACGACCACTCTGGTGGCCATGGCTACGGAGATGCGTTCGGGGATGGACTCGGCGAAACGCGACTCTTCCTGGCCCAAACGAGCAGCTGCAGCAGCCTCTCTGACGAGGACGAGGAGTACTACTTCGATGGACGGAGCGGGAGCCATCAGTGCCACAGTCACAACAACAATGACTGAGGAGGCATTCCTCGAGACCGAAGTGGGCAGATCGAAGCGATTGTGAGTATAAAGAACATAAAAGTGTGTACTGCTTAATCGTGTATTACGATTAAAATAAAAAATAGTAAAAAAAAAACAATGTCGTTAACCCGATTGCAGAATGAACTTCATAAAGCGCCGCAACTCTGAGATAACCGCCAGTAGCACCAGCAGCACCCCCAACTTCTCCGACGGCGCCTTTGGCGAACAGCCCCATCCGAGCCATAGCCAGAGTAGCCTTCTTCTCCAGAAGCTGCCGCCGGGTCAGTCGCAGGCTCAGGATTCAGTGGAGATGGCCCAGATGTCGCCGCGCAAGGATAACGTAAGTGAACTATTAGTATCTTAAAACAGTCTTTAAAAAATCTGATATCTTTGATATTATGCACACATGCATACTACTATCTACTAATCCTTGAACATTTCAACTGGTTTCAGGACAAGCCATCACTGAACCGCCGCCTGTGGAAGCAGATCACCAAACGCCGACGCACCAACTCCGTGTCCCAAATAGTCGCAGGCTAGGGAGGGAACTACCACAACCACAACCACCACCACCAACCGTCTATCACCACTTTCCCCTCTGTTACTGTTACTAACTGTGTTCTGTGGGTAGATTTTAGCTAAGCATCTAAAGAACGTCGTTTCGCGATGAGCAGTGATCGATGATCGATAACCATTTGCACGGGACAGCCCGTCGATAGGCAGTAATCAACTGTAACCATATCACGGTGAACTTAGCGGGCTGCCCCACTGAAAGAACTGGCAAATTGCAAAACCAAACACTTAGTAGTACATTAAGTTTTTTGATACGACTTTGTAGCTAGCGAATCCCCCGGATCGCACCGATCTCGGGTAGCTCTAGGCGTCCAATTGCGTCCAAAAACGATAAGCGATAAACGATAAATGATAAATGATAAAAAACGATTAAAATCGATTCTCCTGCCAGCAGAGCCAAGGAACCGAGTCCCAGCCAAATCAGATATAGACAACGAATGGCAGTCAGTTGGTAATACTGGGCACACTCACTCACTCCAAAATAGGCAATATACATAGACATTTTAGACATTTAAAACATAACACATAACACTTGCAGTCCAGCCAAATGAATTAGGATCTAGCGGAGTTCGTACACTGACTATTTTTTAGAGATCATGATTATGTCTTATAGCTTAGCAGTTTCGGGTTTATGTTGCGGGATTGAGACATTGAAATTGCCTTACGTATCCAATGAACTATTGTATGGGTAGCTTAACGTAGTTGTCTTTATACACATAACATTTACAGCCTCAGCAGTTCGTAGTAGTCAGTCGTTAGTTGTCGGTCGTAATACAATTTTTAGTACTTAAATTCCACGTTTTTCTCAACTATTTACAAACGAAACTTTTGCATCAGCTAGATCGTATATATACATAAATATATAGGGAAACTTGGTAGTTCATTTCACATTGAAATTGATATTGAAATCGGAATTAGAATCGGAATCTGAATCGAGGAAACGAATAGCACGAAAATTGTTGAATGCAGCGCTGAGCTGGGAAAATGCTAACAAATTATACGAATTAATAACAAACGATCAAGTACATTTATCAGCTTTAATAGAAAATCTAATATATATACATGGATCTAAATAGTTCTAGATATAGTTATATAATTGACATATACGAATTACTTTTGAATAGTGAGTACGCGATCGAGTTATTAGGCATTTATCACTCACATTCACACGAGGCATTCATTGATCCAGCACCGTTTACACCACGTGAGATATTCAGTAATTTACTTTGTAACCTCAGACACACACAATGGACTATAAGTGTATGGCTACCGAGAGGTATACATAACGTCTACGCCATACATTGATTTTTTTGGTCGAAATTTGTATTTTAGCAGAGTAGTAGAGTGCAGAAGTGAGTTTCTCTTGAAATTCGATAAGAAATTCAATTATTTAAAGAACAAATTCCAAAGACAAGCATCTAAATAAATTCAATATACAATAAACCAAAATCGAATGCATCACTATTGTGTTTTTTTGTACTTCGTATTACAGTCCCTGGGAGCCTTTATGTATTCGTATACGTTCGTATATTTCTAGCGTGCGAAGGCAAAGCTTTCAACGTGATCAACAGCTGAAATTCAATTGAGAACCTTGTGTTTTTATTGACGAAGTTTGTGTACCCTTTCTGATTTTAGATTTTATGATTTTATTCTTGCACTTTTAAAATTATAATAGCGTCTGACTTTTGCAACAAAAAGTTAAAGTCTGAACTGTTGGAGTTTTGTATTGTTGGAGTTTTTTTAGATTTCATTTTTATTTTGATATTTTAGATTTCATAAAATTGAAATTTATTTTATGGTTACATTATTCAAAGAGAATTCAAATTATATATATTTATTTAGATTACATATTACATTTTTCTTAAAATTTAAATTTATGAAAATACGAATATTTTTCAATGGGATTTTAATTTGATTTTCCATAATTATCATTACTATTTTTTATTTATATTTGAGATCCTTGCTAATTTGTACAAATACCTCTAGATAGCCAATTAACTTTTACCGCTCCTTCAATGGAACATGCTTTATTTCTCGATTCGAAATTCTGGGTGCAAGGGGAGTTTCCTTTATGGGGAGGGTGCTGCAACAAAAAATGTTGGTCAAATTAATTGTAATTCTCGTGGAGCTGGGTAGCCGGGTATTTGGGTAGTTGTGTAGTTGGGTTGGGCCTCCGTGTGCGTGCGCCCGGTTAATGCACATTCCCAAGATCGGGGAATTGGGGAGATGGAGGTTGTTTTCGGGTCGGGAGGTAGGCGGTCGGGTAGCTGGGTAGCTGTGTAGGGGGGTGGTTGGGTGGTGGAGCGGTTCAGCCGCTCAGCGGCTCAGCAGCGCTCCCGCTCTTTGCGGTCGTCAGCTGATGACCGCCGCTGTTGCGGAGCAACTGCAGCTGAGCCTCAGTCAGTTTTCAGCTGAGCGCTTCAGTCGAGAAACGAGTTTCATGCCGAACGGACGCTCTCGCTGCGTCAATTTCTCGCGGTAGAAAACTAAGGGAAAAGAATTCGAATTCGCCAACTTTTGTTTATTTACATACGTTACATGGCTTTTTAATTGGCTACGCGCGAGTGTACGACGTATTAGAGAGTGTGTGCAAAATAATTTGCTTTATTTTTTTACACTTTTTTTTTACGTTCGAAAGTGCCTACCGAAAAACACAAAAAAAAAAAACCACTAAAAAAATAAAATCAAAAGAAAGATAGATGGATAGAAAAAGAGAGTGTGTGAGAGTGTGTTAACCTGGGTACAGGCATTATGGACCGATGCATGTGAACTGACAGGAAATAGAGCGCCATTAAGCCAACAGCACATCACATCACATCAGAAGGCGGTTAGAACCATGGAAAGACGCGGCCCAAACAGATTTGCTAATTGAGGTCGTTGTCTAGGTAAGTTGTCAGTTTCTTCTGGTTTCCGTTTTGCAGCAGCTCTGAAAAATTCACTTACGACCACTGCAACACAACCAGAAATAGTACCACCAACTAACTACGATCTCCGATCGCCAGATAAAACTCCAAAACGGTAAATTATGCCGGTGTGCTGGGGGCAAAAAACTCTTCTGGGCTGCAAAATTCACAAAATTCACACGTTGCACAGTGGGATAAAAGAAAGGGTTTTACATAGGCTAAACATATCCTTTTAGAGTAAAGCAAATAAATTCTGTTAGACGGACAATTACAGATTTGTCCGTTGACCGAAAAGATCAAAGTTTTTATGCTCTTGACTGTTTTAACTGTGTGCAGTTAAGGATATTGAATTGTTTTGGAATCCTGAATTTCACAGCACAGAAACAACCATTGAAGCATCGACACTTTTCCACCTCAGGCGGAGTTTCTTTATTTTTACTTTCTATTATTTTATTTGAAAATTTCACACGTTCCACTGTTAAATTTCCTGCATCTGCATACGTGCTTTTCAAAGTTTAACACTCGATATATGTATAGATGTGTATTTGATCAGCCGTATCCGTTAGTTTCTCCGACGGTTTGCTATTCTAGGTTTGTTCTGTTTCGACAAGGCAACAAATGTTTTGTTTTATTTTGCGTTCATAATACCCCGTATTAGGAAAAATTTCACTAGTGGAGCACAATGGTTTTGTTCGCAAGGAATATACAAAAACTACAAATAGTTTTCTAATCTATAAAACATTTAAATCTAAAACCTTTTATTAAGATCTCGAACTCAAAGCATGTGATTTCACCTGTATAGGCATACTTTTCTTTGGTGGCTGGGAAATTGCCCCATCTTTAAGTGTTGTGGCCCCAAGGTGCCCTGCAAAAGCGGAAAATCAAAATGACAGATAGTCGGACTTCGTCAGAAGAAAAAGCGACTGAGTCAGCAGTGAAAGCAGCGTATCGGATTGGATTGGCTTGGATTGGATTGGATTGGATTGGATTGGATGGGATTGGATCGAAAGCTCTTTCGGTGTCGAGCCCACTTCCTCGTCGCCGAACCTTGGAGATCATCTGAAGATCTGCGGGGTGAGAACCAGAACGCCATTCCATCAGAGGCTCGCCTCTGATAATATAATTATCCAAATGGGCAGGCGGCCACATAACTGAGCGGCAATCAATGGTTTATGGCCATAATGATGCTGGTGCGATCGGCGATGAAAACCACAGCGGAAACGGCATTATCGCGGCTTTCAACTATCGATCAAAAAGGCAGGCAGTTAGCTATGTAAGGTCGAAGCACGGCGGCTAAATGCATATTAAGTAATTTCCAGCAAGTGAGAAACACGAAAAAAACGAGATAAAACGTAAATAGATACTTGTACGGCTCTATTTAGCGCATGTTTCCTTTTGGAAAACATTCGCAGCATGTTTTTATGTGTTATTATTGTTTTTTTTTTTGGTTCCGCTAAGGCAAATGGCAAGTGCAAAAATTTGTTGCGAAAATTGATTAACATCAAACTGGTTGGCGATGGAGATAGTGAGATGGATACGTTTGGAGCACCCTCCTCTGCCCATAAACTCGCAAATTTATGAAATTGCTGGTCAAAAGTTTTTAATTGAATCTCACGTAAAAAGTAAAAAAACATAACAAAAAAAAGTAAGACTGGGAAAAAATTAAATAAAAAGCAACGCAAACAAAAACGCGGCGACAAAGACAACAAACGGTGATGATGATGATTGGGACATGAAGCTCGAAACTGCTGAATTTTTGATTTTTTTTTTTTTTTGTATTTGTATATTTGTTGTATTTTTTTAATTTTAATGTACACATACATAAGGGGGTTTATTATTTGGCAACTTTTGCCCAAGACTTTTCACTGAGAAACCAAGCTCGGCGATCAACTGGTAAACTGGTTTCGCAGTTTATTGAATTTTATACAACATTTGCATCGCTCCAGCCGCCGAACAATAAACAATTTCAATAAGAAAACAAAAAGATGGTCGCTCGTTGAGTTTGCCCAAGGTATTTGACCCACCAGAGTGCGGCAGTAAAATCAGCAGTAGAATTGTTCTCATTCTCATTCAGATTCTGATTCTGATTCTGATTCTCACCGCCACGCAATAAGCAATAAGTAATAAGCTCGGGAAGAACAGAACCAGAACCCTAACGAAAAAGCGAAAAAGTGTCAGCACAGCAAAGCAGCAAACAGCTGCCTTGAAAAGGGGCTTAAGTACCCAGCGAGATTTTGAATGCGAACAAAAGACACAACAAATAAAGTCTAGGGTTACCATTCACTCAAGGAATCTGCGCCTTATTTCCCTTCCGATTCAGATCACTCTCTTAGGCACCACCCCCTCCCTCGAAAAGCCCCCTGTTGGGCACCATTTCTGTATCCCACTTTTTGTACCTGTCACTCTGCCGCGCGCTCCTCTCACTTTCGTTCGGTTTTGGGCTGCCCGGGTGATATGAAGGGCCTTTCTAAATCTTTAATGGCCAGTCGCCGTCGATGATTCTGTGTAATGCGTTATGTACACAAAACTGCTTCAAGCTGCGGAACAGATGCGGGAAAGATAATAGGACTGAAAGTTTAATCGTTATCTCTTTTGTATTTATATTTTTAAATGAACCTAACGACGTAAATAAGCTGTCATTAGGTTCTATTAGAAGTAATAATCTTCCTGCTCAATAGGTTCTTATAAAAATACATAAAAACAAAACTATTAAAAAGATAATAAACAAATAAATAAGAAAATAAGAAAATGCACAACTTGGCAATCCATTTAATTTATGCTAACTAACATATTAAAATATTTTAAAACTCATAAAGGTATTACAAGGGTTCTTAGGTTTTTCAACACCCAAATTCCCACCTCATCTGTTTTCTTTGAATCTCCGACGCTTGTCTAAAGACTTCCTCTATGATCTATGGATATCATGTAATGCCTCTGTCAGGGGGTACTTGAACTTCCATTCTCCATTCTCCGTTCTTGATTCTCCATTCTCCAACTGACGCTCCGCTGGCGACGCTCACCGAACAATGGAGTTCTTGTTGTTGCTGCTGCTGCTGCTGCTGGATTTCCACTATTTTTGTTCTGGGGGCCCCTCCGTATACCGCTCCCTGTGCATTGTCTATATAATCCATGGGGCACAGAGCCCATACATAGTAATTAGAATCATGCACGAGCATACCTTTGGCTGTCTCTGTATCTATGTAACTATGTATCTATGTATCTGGTGTTCAGAGTTCGCTGACTGTGACTTTAACCGTTGGCGTCTGCGCCTCAGTCGTTAATTTAGGCTCCGGTAATTATGAGCGACAGAAGCGGACCACTTCCCATTTTCCCCAAAAGCAAATCGAGTCGAAGAATTTGATTCGGGATTGAAGATAGCCAACTCTGCTGTTCTACTGCTATTAATCACTGGAGTTGGTCAGTTGAAAATTCAATTTCGTGGCCACAAAAGTCGACAAATTAACGTCTTTTTAATTGCTCGTGCTGTTGCTTTTGCTTGTGCTTTTGCTTGTGCTTTTGCTTTTGCCACGACAAAACATTCAACAAACAACAACAACAGCAACAGCAAGACCAACAATGGCCAATTGTCATGTGAAGTCGTTGAACTCAAGAGCCCCCGAACAACCAGAGTTTATTTTCCCCCCTTTTCCGTCCGAGCTTTATATGTTTTCATTTTTTGTGGTTTATCCATGTTAAGAGCCGGGGACATCACAGTTATACAATAGATCAGCTGCTGATCCATCATTTTACCCCTCCATTAAGTTGTGAAACAAAAGCTGCAGTTTGCCTTTGGTAAGACCAACACAAAAAAAAAAAAAAAACAAAAATCAACAAAATAAATGTACAAAAAGAGCAGCATTTGACTGGGCATGACCTTGACAAGGGCAGCCGCTCAGCAAACGTGTTTGCTCTCTAAGCAAACCGGTATGCTCCCATCATCCCCTCCACTGCCCCCAGCGAACTGCTGATATTTTATACTTTGGTGACGCTTCAAAGATTTTCCAACGCAAAAATTGTCACACAAAACAAAAATAGACGAGCAAGGAAACAGAATTTTTACCACGTGCCAAGTGGGAAAACTCGAACATGCATCAGACCATCCAAGCAAAACACAACAGATGAAATGGAATTAAAAACTTCCAAATAAACAGGCATGCATGAATAAACAAATACAGTTACATCAACAGCAAGACCATAATTAATTTAAATAAAATTATGTACATTCTTGCTTAAACATCAAGTCATATATTCTTGCTTTCGAAGCATAAATACTATGTTTCATTCTTGCTTTAAAAGTAAAACGAGTTTTTTTTTACTGTCAGGATTAGATTTTAGTGGCCATTTTAATAAGTTAACTACAAAATCTTTATGTGAGCCTTAAGGCTATGAAAGTTAGCTGGCTGAAATGAATAAACATTAAGAGAGATACAAAAAAAATGTAAGATTAAGTGCAAAACTTAACTTAAGCTCAAATAAAGAACAATTTAAGGCAACAAAATAGGCAATAAATTAGAATACGTTCACTTTGACCAATAAAACGAGTTAAATTTCCTATAAGTATAGCTTTAAATACTTCGCAGCTCTTGAGCAGTGCAACAAATTGGCCAAATAAATGAAACTGATTGCAGGGTGCAACACTCCATAACACTAAATCTAAGGAATTTAGTGCTATTGGTGTGCCCCCAGCTGTGTGCACATATGCTTGTCTAACAATTGCAGTTGATTTCTTGCCGCTTCTTGTTTTTCCTTTTCAATTTGCAATTCGACTCAATTGTGCCGAGTACGAAAGCGTGAAAAACTCAACGGATCCAACAAGTAATAATGGGAGTTGACCGGCCACTGACCACTGGATTGTATTGGCTTTTATTGGACCTATTGGACCTATTGGACCCGTAGTGCTGGAAAAGACAGTGTTGAAATTAGCCCTATATTGGGTTTTTATTTGAACTTGAAATGGGCGGCGATATTACCATCTTACAGGT